TACACGACAAGGAGTAGGGTACTATCTTCACCATGGGAGCCTGAACCTGAGTAAAACCTTGCCTCATGTTACCACCCCAATCGCCTACCAAGCGATCTACCAGGTTTAGATCCGGCAGTGTTGGCCCATGTAGGTCCCACTTGGTGAACTCTAGGGCCCGATAGGAGTTCAGCTCCGTTCCTGTGTGATTTACACGTCAGGTCGGATGTTCATCCTCAACATCGCCACTTTCGTCGCTGACTCGATGAGCCACCTTGGCCAGGTCAAGAATTACGCTGCAGGCCGAATCGTCAGATTCGGCAACCTGGAGTACTCTGTGAATTCTCGCGGAAAGTGGATCCTCTAGGGTTTGGCGTCGCAGCAGATCTATGAGCAGCACAAACCAGTTCTCCCGAACTTGATGTCAGATCGGATCCGGGAGCCATCGATAGAAGTCGATTTTTGTAATTTTTAGTTTTAAGGGGGTTATAATCCCTATGGTCCATTATGCACTATTATTTTTCTTAAAAATAAAAAATATATGTAATTATAATTGTGGGTTATAAATAAAATAATTTTCAAAAAATGAACACTTTTATGAAGTACATAAATATTTTATTAAAACATGAACATTGTAAACTTATATAAGCATTTATTGAAATATCTAGAAAAATATAGACTTTCTTAAAGCATGAACACTTTTATATACTACACGAATATATATTTTTAACTGTGAACATTTTCAAACTTATATAAACATTTATTAACATATGTAGATGAACAACAACTTTATTAAAGCCTGAACACTTTAATATACTACTCCAGCATAGCTTGAAAAGTGTTCTGATATTGTGAGACGGAGGGAGAGCATAGCTTGAAAAACGTTCTATATTGTGGGAGAGAAATAGTACATGAATATTCTCTTTAAACTACTTTCAAATTTCTGTAAGCATTTATTGAAATATATAGAAACATGTAAAATTACTTTTATATTTTTATTAAATATGCAAAGTATTACATGAATACTTTTGTAATTTATAATTTAATTATGCGTTCTTAATGATGTATTATATAGAAACATGTAAAGTATAAAATATAAATTACTTTTATATTTAATTATGCGTTCTTAATAAAAATAATTTATAATTTAATTTTTTGAGCCTTCGGATGTAATATATAGAAACATGTAAAATTACTTATGTATTTTTATTAAATTGGGAGTTTGATGTTCGCAATTACCCCAGCATATCTTTGTTATACTCTGGCCATCTGATTACCTGTCAGGAAAGAAATCAGGAGCGTGGAGCACGTTCGAATATTATATTTAGAAGAAAGGATGCTCTCTGCACATGATCTGATGATCATGCACAGTGTCAGTTAACACATCTGTATATAGTTGAGCAGGTGCTTGAGAAGAACCTCCCAAATCTCTTGTGTTATTTTATTTCAAACGAGACGACCTGCAGGAGCTTATCCTTAAGGTTACATGACTAATTGCACTAACTACGGCTCGAGCTCAAGAGATTGACACATCGGAGACATGAGATGAAAGAAGCAGTCGTATAGCAACCATTTGCAGCTGCCCAAGATCGATCAACATGTAAGAAAAACCCCACGTTGCTCAAGTAAGTAAAGGGGCAGCAGTAACTAAAACGGATCCCCTCCCTCCCACGACATTGCTTCGGAGATGAGATGATCACTTGGAGTCGTCGGTGGGGAGGTGGTGTCTGTTGGTGAGCCAGACGGAGTCGGCTGTGGCCTTGGCGCCGTCGTGGTTGCGGTGCCACGCGTAGTAGGCGTGCGTCCGGTTCTTGATCTCCAGCGTGGCGTGCCCGAAGCTCGCCTCCCTGAACGCCGAGTAGGACGGCTGCGGCTCCGTGAAGCTGCATTCATTCATTCATTCATTCATTTTGTCATGTCAGCAATGCATGGCCGCACCCTGCACAAACTAATTCAGAGCAGAGCGCACGAGCTTGTTAACCTACTTGTTGGCGATGCCCTCGATGTTGCCGCCGTCGCCGATGGTGACGTAGACGGGCGCGTCCATGTCGCGCACGGGCGTGGCCTTGCCGTTGACGATGTTGTAGGCGACGTTGGAGAAGCGGCGGCTGCGCTCGTAGGAGTGGACGTGGCCGGCGAGGACGAGGTCGACCTTGGCGGCGACGAGCCAGCTCTCGAACTGCACCCGCATCGTCTCCCCCTCCATGTAGTGGTAGTTGTTGCTGTTGTACCATGGCGAGTGCATGAGCAGGATGAGCCACGGCGTGGCCTTGCGGTCGACGCGGGCCAGCTCGTCGGACAGCCACGTCCACTGCGGCGTGTACTTGCCGTAGGAGGAGTAGGAGGAGAGCACGATGATGTGGGCGGAGGCGATCTTGACCGAGTACCAGAGGGGCTCCGTGCTGGCGGCGGCGCGGTACGGCGTGCGGTAGCGGTGGGTGAAGGGCTTGAAGGGCACCGTCTCGCCGATCTCCGGCGCGTAGTCCAGCTCGTGGTTGCCGGCGGTCCAGATCCAGGGCTGGTACGCCACGCTGCGCTCCACGAAGCGCGCCCAGCTGTCCCAGCGCCGGTTGTCGTGCAGCGGGTACGCGTCCGCGTACGAGAGGTCGCCCACGAAGAGCACCGCGTCGCCGCCGTTGGCCTCGTAGTGCGACAGCGTGCTGTTGGAGTCGAACGTCTGCCCCAGGTCACCTGCCGGCAAGATCACAGAAAAGATTAATAAATAATGAATATAAGATCCAGCTTGATTATTTACTCCTACAAAACAAAATAATTATACAGCTTGATTCTTCCTTGAAACAAAATAATTATACAGCTTTTCCGGAAATAACCTAAATCACATCTAGATGTGCCATAAGTATTGCAAATCTAAGTCCTAAATCATTAATCTTACGCAGAGATTCGTGCGGATCTTTTGTTTTCAATTCTCTTTCCTCATTCATCTCAAACAGATATGACACTGGCTCACTGTCTCACTGGTCTGGAGCAGGCATGGGCTGTGCACAGGAGTGCACATTGTTTCCTGCGGCAGTCAACATGGCCATCTTGTCTTGTCTTGATCGACACATCCCAGGAAATTCAGGCCCCAGGGAAATGGACGTGTCAGCTACTTGCACGTCGGACGCCGGCCGAACTACGCACCTATGAATATCATACTGACATATGGGTCTCTGACATGGATCGGATGCTGGCTAACGTCTAGCGACGACAACACGACTGACGACCGATGCTGGCCCTGGCCTTCCTCATCTTGTCGTAGATCCTACCGAACCATCTTGTTTATACCGATCCATGGAGTAACCAATAATTAACTAACAACTCTTACATCACGGATCTTATTTTCCAGTGTTCATCAAGCATGACGAAAAAAGTGGTAACTGATTCACATACCGATGAGTCCGAACTTGAAGGGCACGTCGGGGCCGGGCTTGGGAGGGGCGGTGAAGGAGAAGGTCCGCACCGTGTGGCCGAACCCCATCGCGTAGTAGTACTTCACGCCATGCTGCACGCAGGAACACGCGAAATTAATGGCGGTCGGCGTCCATTGCATGATGTGTGCCAACTCGAGTTCTCTACTCGTTTTCTTGATGAGGTTCTGCTGGTTACCTTGAGGTTCCTGAGGACGCAGTGGTGGATGAAGCCGGAGGTGTAGTTGAAGTAGTCGTAGCGCGTGTGCGTGCCTTGCGCCGACATCTCCATCTTGTCCGGCGACGGGCCGTACCTCACCGTGCCGTTGCCCAGCTCGCTCGCCGTCACCCACGACACCGTCATCGCCGTGCCCGTCTGGTCGCCCAGCGTGATGTGCACCTGTGTGTGTACGCAACGAACCACCCGAAAAACAAGATGAGAGACCAAGAACCCGTTGCAGATCGGGGGGGATCGGAGAGGCGGCCGGCGGACGGACCTGCTGGGGGGCATTGTAGCCCGGCGGCACGCGGAAGACGTCGGCGTCGAACGGCATGTCGGCGGTGGCCTCCAGCTTGCGCCGGTACGCGCTGGTCACGCCGGCGTGGCCCGTGGTGGCCGCCGCCGCGGCGAGGGCCACGGCGAGCGCCAGGAGCGCCAGGCGCCGGCGAGCCCCCATGCCTGTCTCTTGTGGCGTGGCGAGGCGAGCGTGGAAACGGAAGCAGAGAGGGAGAGGACGAGGAAACAGAGGGAGGCTGTGGCTCGTTCAGTGCGAGGACGAGGAAGGGAGGAACGGACGAGGATGGGGTAATATAGGAGAGCAAGCAGGAAGGAATCCTTTTCTGGTTCCGCCAGGCTCTAACAAATGAGCCCTAATAACAGACGAGAGATTTTGAAGGCCGGGCCGTATGATTTGCGGGGAATATCCGGGGATTGTGCTCGCTGGAGTGGACTCGAGTAGAGTAGGGAGGCAGCCAAGTCGGACGGGCGAGCGGAGCTACGGGTACGGAGCTGAGAGTTGACTCCGATCGAGCTAGCCAAGTCGTTTGTTTGTTTGCGCATGAGCGGGCGCCGGGGAAGAAGAATATGGCGCCCGTGCCGTTCCCACCGGGCCACCGACCGGGGCGGACGTCGCCGTGTGGGCGCGCCGGAGCGAGACGGGCGGGCTTGTTTGACCAGCGATTGGGTTTGGCACGCCGACCGCGCCGCGACGGCAGGCACGGCGACCAGCGCTAGCTAGCAAATAAATGAGTGGCTCGTGGCTTTTTTTTTGTTTTGTTTGCGAGTAGGCTTGGCTCGAACTCATTAACTAATGAGCCAGCCCAGTAGATTTTTTTTTTTTGCGCCTGCTTGTAGACAGAGCTTTTTTTTTGCGGGACCTAAATTATTGATGTTGTAATTTGTGAAGTTGAACAAGTGTGCATACATATAATTTTATAAATGTTGTTTACAAGTTTCACTGTCTTTTCATGAAAACAATTTTTCACTTTTTGAACTAATAACTAACTCAGGGGAGAGCCTCCTAGCGCAATGGCAAGTACCCACTCGAGCCACATAGGTTCGAATCTCTCCATCTACCTAACAACGAAAGTCAAGTGGCGGAATTTCCCCCAGGCCGGCTCGACGTCGACTCGGCTCAAATTCCAGGCCTACGCCGACAATGGGGAAATCGCCATGTGTTTCAACTTTGAGTTGAGACAAACACAACGCATTCATCCCAGTTTTGCAGCTATAGCGAGTCCACTTCAGACGCATGAAGGTACCGTCACTGTTGGGGGACAGTGCGATCAAGTGGAGGTGACAAAGGCAAAAGGGGACAACGATATTCACAGGCCGTGGCCGTGGCAATTTGCAAAAGACCAGCTGCCTTTCTCATCATCTATCTATGTAAAATGTATGGCTTTGCATCTTTCTATCCGCCACTAGGTACTTCGCCGCAAATGATTTGAGGCCATGCATGCACCACCGGACTGGACTGGACTGGACGGTACCCAGCGTTGGCTTTCGAGATTCTGTCCAGCCTTTTGCTCTTTCGCGATCACGATTGCTTGGATTTTGTGGCACTCATTTGGCTGTTGACTCGAGGACTTATCACAAAATATATATTCCCTTCCACAATATCCTCCTTTTTCACTTTTCTGAATGACAACCGACAGGCGGTACATATACCCTGTTAGCCTTCACGCTACATAAACCGAAGTCCAAGTGCCAATTTTGTCAAAGCTCGAGGGCAGCGAGTTTGTCCAAGACGGCAAAATTTTGACTCGAAAAGGAAAACTGCCTGCAGAGCTTCCACATGACGCTCGCGCTCTAGTCTATGGGTGTCTATCTATCAAGGCCGGCCGGCAATGATGCAAAGAAATACAGGTTTCAGTAATTTGCTCATGTCATGATTCTGAATTTCTGATCCATTCGTTCCGGCATAGCTTAATTAGCATATATATATATATATATATGGCGAAACATATTCCGCGTTGAACAAATTGATGCTTAGCTATCTCTACTATTAGTATAAGTTTTATTTATTGCGAGACTGGCTAGGTTGACATGGACGATTTCTACACTTTCTCTACACCTTGCATTTTCCTTGATCACTTTAAATTTCAAGTTCTAGCTTGTAGAGTAACACGGCTGTTTGCGTCAAGAGATGCAGAGGCCGGGGGTTTTCCTCCATTTCTAAAAAGAAAACTTGTAGAGTAATATTTCTGTCAAGATTCTGTCCGTGTTCTTTCGCAATCAAGATTGAGTACAGTAGTGTTTGTATTTTTATGGTACTCATTTAGCTGTTGACTCGAGGACTTATCACTCCATGAATATCATTTTCTGTCTTTTTCGACCTTTCTGAATGGCAATGCCAAGCAGTACACATACCCGGTTAGAATGTGCCCCTGTTAAGCTTTCATGCTACACAGTCTGAAGTTACAGGTGACATGGGCAACGCGGCAACTGGTCAGCATGCCAGTTTGTCAAAGCTCGAGGACAGTGATGAGTCACAAATTCAATCATAAAGACGGCAAATTTTGACTTGAAGAGAGAAAAAAACTGCATGCAGACCTTCCACGCGATGCTCTCCCTCTCAGTCCCTCTGGGTGTCTATCAAGGCCGAGCCGGCAATGCTACCTGTAGGATTCAATCATTTAGGTTGATGTCATGATTCTGAATTTCCAATCCATTCGTTCCGGCCTTGCTTAGCATATCCCCCGTTGAACATGCTGATGCTTAGCTTATCTCTACTAAATTGTTTTGTGAGACTAGCTAGGTTGACATGGCCAATTTCTACACTTTTTTTACACTTTGCATTTTGTTAGTCGCTTTAACTTTGTAGTAGAGTACTAGTCACTTTTCATTTGGCACAGAGGATCGAGGGGAATACAGTCTGTGTGAACCATGTAGGAGCACGCAAGCCACTGGTTGTGCCGTGGCTAGATACTACTCCATCTACATGTATCTTTCGTTGGGGAATTTCCCTTGTTTTTTCCCTGGGAAAAGAAGGCCTCCGATTTGATGTGTGTATCTTTATTCTTTAGCCCTTTTGCCAGGATTCTTCAGGCTGACAATGATGGCAAAGATAGCATACTGCGCACTGTTGGGAGATACCTGTACATTGGTCGAGTCAGCGATACATGCATGCATCGAGTGTGCACGCACGCTGTGCCTTTTTTGAGATGATAATTATATTCCTTCCATGAATAATTCGTTCCATCAATTTTTTTTGTTAGAAATATCATAATAAATAGTTATGGGTTTTACTAAAGATATAGAGTTATTTTCGCAAAAAAGGATACGGAGTTAGAAAAAGTCTCCTAGGTTTTGTGGCAGTGAAGGTTGCTAAAGAGTGACACACAATCGGTAATAAGGGCGGACCATCTGCAGTGAGGCAACCATCGCCGATGAAGACATGAAACATCACTGATGATGACCTATTAGTAGTGACAAGAGATTGTGTGAACATATCTATCTAACACAAAAAAAGACTATTCTAAGAAATATAATTTTCTCAACTATATGCTAATATGTTTCGTAAATATAAATATGACAATAAAATATCATTTCAAATATATGAACAGTTATTTTATCTACATCGACACTTATTATTTTACTATACATCATTTTATTATTAAGCTCATTTAAATTATATTTACAGATTGATTAAGTAAAAGTATATGTCTTTGTTCTTTTATTAAAATATGAGTCAATGGGGCAACACCAATGGTGAGCCCATTATTGGTTTGCTTAGGCAGAGCTAGCCCTACTACACATATAAAGTAGTAAAGCACGACGAATTCTCGACTGTTTACTACAATAAGGTTTGCCCGACTCCGATGAGGGAGGGGCGAAGGCGGCGATGTGCCTTCGGCTCGCTTCAGTGCTACTAGTCGTCGCTAGGTGGTCTACGGATTTAGATGTATTTTTTTTACTTCTAGTGTTCTTTGTACTACCTTGACAGTTGATGAATAGATCGAAAGTTATTCTAGCAAAAAAAGCAGCAAATAGACAAAAAAAAAACATAAAGCATCAAATAAGAGGGACGCTCCTTTGAGGGGCCTTATCTCGCTTATTGCGAGCAATAGCCCAGTCAAGCAGTTTTGGGAAGTTCTGGGAGTAGCGCTACTCGTGGAAACTTTCAGAGGTTTTGGGAAGGTTCCACCTAGTCTTTTCTTTTTTCCTTTTTTTACGGTTTCAATATTTTTTATTCTGCTTTTTTTTCTTTCTTCTGTTCCTTTTTCTCAACACATATATAATTTTTTAAATACATGTTGTACATTTTTCTTGTATACACACGGATCATTTTTTTATACACGTTGAACATTTTCCAGGTACATGAGGAATATTTCACCACATGCAAGTTTAAACATTTTTTTCATGCTAAACAATTTTCAAATACACGATAAATATGCTTTTAATGGCACCAAACAATAATTGAAATTACATGAACATTTGTTTACATTGTAAAGTCATGAAGATACTTTTGAACGCGTGAACATTTAAAAAAAATGTCACCAACATTTTTCTGAGTCGTATGAAACACTTAAAAAATACTAGTTGAATGCCCGTGCGTTGCCACGGGACATGTAACAAACTTAGACAAAGAGATATTTGTTGAATCATCACTATAAGTTACATCATGTATGTCGCACACGGGTTATAAGTGTTCAAACAAATATTATCTTGTACAAATCCAACCTTTTTGCTCTTAGGGCACTCCCGATGCAGGCCACAAATACTCATCCGGAGAATCAAAAGGTTAAAAATAATAACAATGAGATATGCATAATGTGCAAAAATAACAAGCACCAGTGAACGGAATGCAAATAGAAATATGTAGAAATACGACCAACCCTTTATTTTTGCACAAACTACATTAATGTCAATTATTTTATGAAGATTTATAGGCTCAACAAACATGTAGATTACTATAGTGTGAATTTTCTAGCGCTTTTTTACGAATGGGAATTTTGAAAATTGGAAGCAAGAGCATAGGTGCCCGAGGGCCAAATTGAATTTTCAGTCTCACTTACAAATTTAACAAAATAGTAATACTACGGGATAGTTATGTACACATTATTGACTCAGCAAACACCAATACCATGTTGCTCTCCTTTGCAATCTAGTCGTCATGCCACCTTCAGCTCCATTCCTCTTTGTTGTACTCGTCATCCAACTCATTCCTCCATTAGT